AATTTTGATTCAGCAAGAAGACAAAAATTCAATTTTTATAAAATGTCACCAACGTACATATCATTTGATCAAATGATCAAAATCAGATCAGACGGCCACATCATAATCATGATCAGATCAGATCAGATTTGATCAGATCGGATGATCAGATGATCTCGTACTTTAATTTATCAAATAAATACTGACAAAAACAAAAAAAAAAGAAGTATTTATCCAAAAGAAGTGAACGGAGCAGGTTGCTAGGCAAGATTTTTTAATAATTATGTTCGGCATTATATTGAACTTCACCATCGATGGAAATGACAACCAAGGAACAGTCAAGAATGTTATCACTTAAACTTATGAATTTATCAACTGTAACCTTATCAGGTCACATCCTTTGAATTATCAGAAGTTAACCATATGCGAATTGCTACAGTGATACTAATTCCTTTGGGATGCAAGTTTTCATGGCGGTACTTAATGACGAGAGGTTGCTCTCGGAAGTTGCTGCTGGCTTTTTTCCAAAATTTCGTCAATGTTTTGCAATCCTTTTGGTGAAGTCGTGCCATCACGTCAGTTTTATTCCTAAACGTGCTCCTCACCATCAACTTTTTCAATATCTTCTTCCCGTACGTCAAAATTCTACGTTATATACGTGAAAATTTTACCTCGCACGTAGGCACTTTATTCCTTATCATTTCAAGAATTCGTTCAATTTCAGATTTGAAATTCATAAGTTAACTGAAATTCTTCCTCGCTTTCACCCGAACATGTCTAAAACATTCTTTCAATATAGATTATTTGCTGTTTACTAAATTTTTGAGTGTCATACTGTTTGTATACTGTGAATTACTAAAATATGCTTACAGGACATTTAGTCGAGACGGTTCCCATGCTTGATATGATGATGGACAGCATTTACTAACTAGGATATCTTATCATATCAAAGAAATATGTTTCTGCCGGTAATTATTACGACTTAATTTTTCCAACAAAATTATTACGACTTAATTTTTCCAACAAATTAATAACGATATGATTGCGACATTACATCCTCCATTACCGTAAGCTGTTCCTGATGTATTGGATCAACTGATCCGTTTACTTTACTCATTCTCTTTCTTTAATCACGAAAGATCCATCGCTTGATGTTCTGCGTGAAGTTTTATTTCGCACATGCACCAAAATTTTGTTTTCCACAGTAGCGTAAATTTTGTTTGGCCACTATGCCATTTGCATCCTTTTGTGAGAGTGAAGATTCGATGATATATATGGTAGGTGGCAAAAACAAACAAAAAATGGAAAGGAAAAGATGATTGAGGAGGGAAGGCGATGGATTTAATTGTTAATTATTGCTTCATCGCTATTATTATAATTACTATTACTATTGCTTATTATTATTATTACTATTATTATTATTATTATTATTATTATTATTATTATTATTATTATTA